TCAGGCATTTCCAAAGCCTGCCCATCTTCCAGTATGGAGTGTAGGTCTACTTCCAGCTCATTTGCCTCAGTCACTTTATCTCATTTCTGCACATGTGCAGATATGGTCATCTGCTTCTGTTTTTTGGGCATCTTCAGGGGTTATCTGTGGCCTTAATACTCAGATGGGTATTTTTTATGCATTCTGATTGCCTCCAGGTAGATGTGATCAGGAAATGGGCTTCCCTTTTCACTGTTTTTCTTGAGAAATTTCAAGATGCCACTGTTGGTCATTTCGATGTAATTTAAGATTTTATTTTCAGCCTATTTCCTTTTTTTCTGCTTGTCCCACTCCACAATCTCTGTTAAGGCCTTTTTTCTAGTTGTAAACAGTTCAGGGCCAGCTATGGCCGTTTGGTTTTAAGTGGAAACTGCCTCTTTAATTTTCAAGGAGATTGTGTGCATGTGTAGTAGAACCCTCCAGGGGTGGGGCTGGGGTGCCCACTAGCTCAGGCACCCCTATAGTCACCTGAATGGAGGTGCGTAGACAGCAAGGAACCAATGAACAGTTCCCAAAAGAGAAGAATTGACACACCTTTATCTCTGCGGTTCTGCCAGGCGTCTGTGGCTGCTCCGATCCTTCCCCAAGATGGTCTCACCCAAGATGGCGGCTCCTGGAGCAGCTGAACATCTTGAATTAGAAAGCAATGGATTTCTTGCTTCTGCCACAAATTCCCCCAGCTGTAAGCCTTCCAACCTTCTAAATATTCCTTTATATGTGGTTTAGAGTTCTGGGACCATCCCCTGAGCCTGCTTGGTCGGGTATTCTGTGTTTTTGCTGGTGGAGGTCCTTTACTGCACTTCCACCCAATCGGCCATCTTGTTTGTTCTCTATGCAAATGCTTTTGACTGTGTGGATCATGACAAGCAATGGACAATACTGTGGAGAATGGGCATTCCATAACACTCAATTGTGCTAATGAGGAACCTATACATAGACCAAGAGACATTCGTTTGAATAGAACAAGGAAACACTGAATAGTTTAAAATAAGGAAAGATGTACACCAAGGCTGTATTCTTTCACCATGCTTATTCAATTTGTATATTGAGCAAATACTTGGAGAATCTTCAAGGATACATTGACAGAGAACTTCCAGAGGTTCAAGCCAGATTCAGAAGAGTACGTGAAATGAGAGATATCATTGCTGATGTCTGATGGATCTTAACTAAAAGCAGAGACTAGAAAGATGTTTACCAGTGCTTTATTGACTACGCAAATGCTTTTGATTGTGTGGATCATGACAAACTATGGACAACATTGCGAAGTATGAGTATTCTGAAACACTTAATTGTGCTCATGAGGAAACTGTACATGCACCAAGTGGCAGTTGTTTGAACAGAATGTGGGAACACTGAATGCTTTAAAATTTATAAGCATATGTGACAGGGTTACATTCTTTCATCATACTTATTCAACTTCTATGCTGGGCAAATAATCTGAGAAGCTAGGTTATATGAAGAAAAGTGTGGCATCAGGATTGGATGAAGACTCATTAAGAACCTGCAATATGCAGATGATACAACCTTGCTTGCCAAAAAGGACTTAAAATATTTACTGATGAAGATCTAAGACCACAGCCTTCAGTATGGACTGCATCTCAATGTAAAGAAAACAAAAATCCTCACCAGGGGACTAATAAACAACATTCTTATAAACGGAGAAAAAAGTGAAGTTGTCAAAGACTTCATTCTTCTTGGATTAACCATCAACACTCATGGAAGCAGCAGTAAAGAAATCAAAGGATGTATTGCAGTAGGCAAATCTTCTGCGCAAGACCTTTTTGAAGTATTGAAAAGCAAAGATATTAGCTTGAGGACTAAGGTGTGCCTGACCCAAGCCATGGCATTTCAGTGTCTTCATATGCAGGCAAAAGCTGGACAGTGAGTATGGAAAACCATTGAAGAATTGATGCTTTTGGGTTATGATGTTGGAGGACAATATTGGAAGTCCCATGGGCTGCCAAAAGAACCAACAGATCTGTGTTGGAATAAGTGCAGCCAGAGTGCTCCTTGGAGGCCAAGATGGCCAAACATCATCTCTCATACTTCGGACATGTTGTAAGGAAGCACCACTCACTGGAGAAGGATATCATGTTTGATAAGATGGAGGGTCAGAGAAATGGAGCACATACACAATCCATCGAGATGGATAGGCAAAGTGACAGCATCCATGGGTTCAAGCGTAGCAACAATTGTGAGGTTGGTCCAGGACCGGGCAGTGTTTTGTTCTGTTGTGCTTAGGGTTGCTATGAGTTGGTACTGACTTGATGGCACCTAGCAGCAACAACAACAAATGTTCTGCAGCACATCTAAGACAGCCAGCCTCCCAGGGCACACACCCATTAGTACACCTTGCCCCAGTGCTAGGACATGTATGCATGTGGGAGATCTTAAGATGCCTTTTCTTGTCACTGAACATCCCCCTCCAACCACCTCAAGTGTGCCCTGGGTCCCAATAGGCACAATGACATTAAGATGCGCAGTGCAGTAACAGATATTTGTTGAATGCCTGCTTGTGCCCATAACTCTTCTAAGTTATAGGGATACAGAGAGCAGACAGACAATGTTTTGGGTTTTCTGGGTAATAGAACTTACTCCAGTGTGGGGAAATCCACCCTAATAAGCTCACAAAGAAATACCCAAGAAAACCATTTGTTACTTCATGCAGTTATGAAAATGACACGTAGGAGTGCTGGGGGGAAGTGTCCAGCTTCTGGGCCAGAATCCACACAGCCTTTGAGACCAACAGGTGAGGTTGCTATTAGCTATGGATCACACAGCTAAGCAAATCTTTGAGCCCCATTCCCTCAATGTGATCCTGAGGTCTAGGCAAGGAAGATGAAGTCCAAGGATGCTTGAAGCTCTTGAGATGCCCCACCCACTCCGTGCAGTCTTCTTTCTCTTTCTGACCTCACCTTGGAACCCCTTTTGCTGTGGAAGTTTCTCAGGCCCTCTCTAGGTCACACCAAGACCATTGAGTCTGAATTGGAAACCATGTTGGGTGTGTGTCTCCCTCGGTTTAGAGGATGTATTCCATGGACTACCTGGACCTGCTTGACTGCTGATGCTTTCTCCTGTAACAACTCCCTGGGAGACCGACCTTAGGAAGTTACTCAGCTCTCTCTTACTCTCCAATGCCAAGGATGGTGCTAAGACTCTCCTAGGACCAGGGTAGAGTGAGGGGAGAAAGTCTGAGAGGCATTTAGGGGGAAAGACCCACCGGGGTGGTGGATGAGAAGTGAAGAGTTGCAACAGGTGGATGAGACAGCAGAGGCTGTGCCCGCAGCGCTGCTCCGCAGCAGCCTGCCATGGGTCAGCATCCTTTGTCCCAGTCTAGGAGCCATTCTGTGCTGGGCGACAGCCAGCCTCCTGCCGAGCCCCGCCCACGCTTGTGCCAGCGCTCAGCCTGAGTCTGGCCTGAGCTGTGGGGGCTGGGGGCGTGTCTGGAGGCGTGGCGATGGGAGGAGTGAAAGTTAGAGCAAAAACCCTCCCCTGCTCCTGCTGAACAACAGCAGACCAAGAGCAGCGACCTCCACACAGGTGGTCGCGCCGGGTCCCCCCCACGATGTCTCCCAGAGTTCTTGTGCTCCTCTTGGGTGTGTGCATGCTCCTCCAGTATAGGTAAGTCTCCTTCCGGGGGTCCAGTCCCCTGGCGCCAGGCTTTAGCTGACTCCCTAGCCCCTGGACACCCTGTAACCTCCAATAGTTCTCTCTAGAAGTAAGGCGGATGCCAGTTCCCTCTCGGCTCCGTCTCTGGATTCTCGATCTTCATTCCACTCCCTCCCGAGTCCAGTCTCTAGCAGGAATATGGAAACATCTCGAGGTCCTGGACTAAGCAGGAGCGCGACACTGGAAGTAGACTAGGGGAACGTGGCGCCTGTAGAGAGCTCAGGCAGGAGCGGAGCCTCCAGAAATGCTGGAGTGTTGGCTAGCCTGTTCTCTGCTGCTCCGTTTGGTTTTGAGCGCCTATTAAGTACTAGACTCTGGGCTGGCGAGGACTCTGACTTGATTTGCTTCCCATCCTGTTCTCACTCCCAATAGCTCCCTTGTCCACTAGTCTCCCCTGATTCTCTGTCCTAGACACCTCTGGAAGTCTCTAGTAGCCAGGGGCTAGGGGTGTTTATCTCTGAGGTCTGTGGTTGAGGGCCTGAATTTCAGCCCCCTCTTCCAATAGTTAGCAGACTGTTTTGCCTCTGGGCTTGTGCTGATAAGGTTTCTGTCTTAGAGATGTTTTCCCGAAAGGTGTCAACTGTCACAAGTTCCTATGTCTGTTACATTCTCTGGAAGTCTCCATGATGCTGGCCTTGTATTGCTTCTCTGTTTTGAGGAGAAGGGGTTTCATCTCTCTCTCTTCTGACAATACTAGTCTGTGTCAACTCTTCAGGGAGACACTGGGTAGCTTCCTGCTGGCTCATGGGGCTCTAGGGCTGACCTCCTCCACTGGGGCTTGAGTGGTAAACATTTGAATCCACACTAGGACTTTCCAGTCATCCACAGCTCTCTAGATGAGTTGAGAGAGATGACATAGTGACTCACCAGGGAAAGGAGTGAAAGAGGGGGACAGGGAGGAAGCAGAAGAGAGGGGCTGCTACAAAGAAAATGGGCTGTAGGAACTGAGGCTTACACTCTCTGTGACATCAAGACCATACCACAGCAAAAACCTCGCTGGTGCAGGCTTAGCTTCCTATTAGTTGAGTGACTTGGGGCACAATCTTTCACTCCCCCTCCCCCCCGGTCTCAGTTTCTCCATCTGTTACATGAAGAAAGAAATTGATTTGGGGGAAAAAAAGAGAAAAATTAGTATCCCATTTCCTTCTTCTTTCCTCAGATGTAGTGGGGGAGGGTGTTTGTGTTCAGAGATTTTGCTCCATTTGAGGCATGGGGAACCTGAGAAACCTCAGGAAAGCAAGACATCTTCTGGATGTGGATGTGGTATCGAAAAGTGGAAACTGCTTTTCCCAAGTACAGTTCTTGCCTTGCTTTCAGTGCCAATTAGCCAGTTCAAATATGAGAAATAGCACACACTTGGCTTATCTGTATGCCAGGTTAAGTAATCTCAGAATTGAAACACTTCAGATAAATAATATGCAACACAGGGGCCAAGATCACATGTCCTACCTTGTTGCCCCATGTCCTAGGGAGCAAGTGATCTGATAGCTTTTTTTCCCCCCTAATAAAATTACTTTGGAAGTGTAACATGCAGATATAAAAGTGCTGAAATCATGTGTGAACAGCTTAGTGGGTTTCCACAACCCACTACAATGCTCTACCCAAAGGAAACCACTATCCTGCGTTCCCACCACAGATTGACTCATTTTGGCTGTTGGCTTACTAAAACAAAAACAACAACAACAACAACATTTTTTACTATGAAAATGTATCAAAAATATACCAAAGTAGATTAAATAGCTGAGTGAAATACCATGTACCCATCTCCAGGCTCATGGATTAGCAACTCAAGGCCTTCCTGATTTCCTCTGTATCCCTACTCATTTACATTATTTTAATGTAAATTTCAGATACCTGATCATTTTATATGTAATTATTTTAGCATACTCTAAAAGATAAGGATTAATTAAAACATAATCACAATATCATTATTGCACTAAAATATAAGAATAATTTCCATAGACTTCTACTATTCAATTAGTGTTCAAATTCCCCTGGTTAAATTGTAAAATTTTTTGTTTTGTTTTGTTTTTTGTTTTTGTTTAATTCAGTTTACTTTTCAAAATCAAGATGCAACTCAGGTCTGTATATAAAAAGATGGGACTTTTTTTTTTTTAATACTTTTTATTGAAGGAAACATATACATGATCGTACAGGTGATGAATTGTCACAGAATGAACACACCCATGGAAAGACACTCAAATAGGGGTCTGGGACATGGCCAGGCCCTCAGAAGCTCCCTGGGGGCCCCCCTTTCATCACTGTCTCCCACAAAAGTTGCATGTCCCTGACTACTTACAGCAGAAGAGAGTTTCAGACATTGGCATTTTTAGATCTTATTATTATTGGTATTTTAGTTGTGGTGCCTGACTGTGAGATCACACAGGATGCCTGTCAGCCATCCCTTTGCTGACGGCAGTCTTTGGGTGACAGAATCCTCTTTTCTCCAAACCTTCATTCTTTCTTTGTTCTAGGGTCGAAGGACCACAGGCCAAGTCAGAGAAGGGAATCTCTGGCAGTAGTGATGACTTCTACGGCCCCAAGACACGGAATAAAAAAATAACCCCCCCCACTAAGGGAACAAAAACTCCTGTTACTGGCCACAGAGTTTCCAAAGGTACAGAAGCCTCTCAGATCCTGAACACCATACTGAACAATTATGATCATAAACTGCGCCCTGGCATTGGTGGTAAGTAGTCGAACAAAGGTCTTTCCCAACTGGCAGTGTGTTGTGGGGAGCAGAGGGAGTGTCAAGGGTACAGGTGTGAAGAATGGACCTAGGGTGTAAGTGAGGGTGCCATGCACATGGACAAGAACCCAACAGGTAAGTAATATTAGCTCTACTTTCAGCAATACTATTTCCCTTGATTAACTACAAAATGTGATAATTGACTAAGTGGTTGATATCCAAGGTCCATCCAAAGCTTAACAGTTCGTGAATATAGTCTTGCCATCAAAGAACAATGAAAGAAATAGGGTGGAATGCCTAGACTCTGTCTTGCCTGACTCCCCTTTTCTTCCCCTCTGATTACTTCCTTACTTGCCCAACAGTCCTGTTTGACACTTATCCTCTGTCACTTCTGTTCCCTTACAGAGAAGCCAACTGTGGTCACTGTTCAGTTCTCAGTCAACAGCCTTGGTCCTCTCTCTACCCTGGACATGGTGAGTGTTCATCTTTGATTACAGTATCTCCTAGTCTTGGTTGCTGACCTAAGGGCGTTCCACATGCTTGTGTTTTCTTTTTGTGTGTCTGTAATCACTCCAAACATTTTAGAGAGAGATTTGAACCAGCACTGACTTGAGAATGAGACTAGAAAAAGGTAAGTTACTAACTAACCTGAAGAGAACCTCCAGAACTAAAAATAATAAAGCAACTTTAAACACAACAATAAAATGTCCTTTTTCTTATGTTTATGCTATTTATGTCTGCAGTTTTCAGTTTTTGCTATGAGAATGTTTCTATTATTTCCCCCTGATTACTTCTTTACTTTTCACCTCTACTGTCCGAATGTCAGTTGTTGTTGTTAGGTGCCAACAGAACGAAATACTGCCTGGCCCCACACCAATCTAACAATCTTTGTGACACTTGAGCCTATTGCTGCTGCCACTGTGCCAATCTATCTTGTTGGGGGCCTTATTCTTTTTCATTGACTCACCACTTTACCAAGTATGATTTACTTCTCCCACCTGATAACATGTCCAAAGTATGAGAGGCAAAGCCCGGCCATCCTGTCTTCTAAGGAGCATTCTGGCTGGATTTCTTTCAATACAGATTTGTTTGTTCTTTTGCCAGTCTATGATACTTTTGATATTATCTTCAAATACCATAACTCAGTGCATCAATTCTTCTATGGTATTCCTTATTTTCCAACATTCACATGCATATGAGATCATTGAAAATACCATGGCTTGGGTCAGGTGCACCTTAGTCCTCAAACTGACATCTTTGTCTTCAACACTTTAAAGAAGCCTTGTGTAGCAGATTTGCCTATTGCAATACGTCCTTTAATTTCTTGACTGCTGCTATCATGAGTATAAGGTGGTTTATGCAAGCAGAATGATGTCTTTGGCAACTTCAATCTTTTCTTCATTTATGTTGTTTATTATCCAGTGGCTAGGAATTTGTTTTCTTCACATTAAGATGCAACTCAGACCAAAGACTCTGGTCTTTGATCTTCATCAGTATTTTATCAGTCTTCTTCACTTTCAGCAAGCAAGATTTTATCATCTGCATATCACAGGTTGTTAATGAGTCTTCCTCCAATCCTGGTATAATTTTCTTTTTCTTATAACCCAGTTTCTTGGGTTATTTGCTCAACATACAGATTAAGTACTATGAAAGAATACAATCCTGGTGCACACCATTCCTAATTTTACAACATTCAATGTTCCCTTATTCTGTGCAAACAACTGCCTCTTGGTCTATAAACAAGTTCCTCATGAACACAATGAAGTGTTCAGGGATACTCATTGTCTACAATGTTATCCATAGCTTGTCATGAGCCACACAATAGAAAGTCTTTGCATAGTCAATAAAGCACAGCTAAACATCTTCCTGGTATTCTCTGCTTTCAGCAAAGATCCATCTGATGTCAGTAATTATATCCCTCTTTCCACATCCTGGCTTAAATCCTGCTGGAAACCCTGGCAGTTCCCTGTCAGTGTACTGTTATAGCTGTTTTTAAATGATCTTTAGCAAAATTTTACTTGCATGAAATATAGATGATATTGACCAATGATTTCAGCATTCTGTTGAATAAGTTGGCCAGGTAGCTGTCTTCCAATATAGATGATATTGATCAATGATTTTAGCATTCTTCCAATAAGTTGGCCAGGTTGCTGTCTTCCAAATTATTTGGCATAGATGAGTGAGTGCCTCCAGTGCTGCCTTACTTTATTAAAATATTTCAATCTGTATTCTGTCAATTCCTGGAGACTTGTTCTTTGCCTATACTTTGTATTTCTTCCTTCAGAATTATTGACTCTTGATCATATGCTACCTCTTGAAATGGTTGAACATCGACCATTTATTTTTGGTACATTGACTGTGTATTCCTTCAATCTTGTTTTGATGCTTTCTGCATCATTCAATAGTTTGTCTATAGAATCCTTCAATGTAACAAGTTGAGACTTGAATATTTTGTTCAGTTATTTCAGCTTGAGAAATGTTGAGAGTGGTCTTTTATTGTGATCTTTGCACATTTCAATACAATATTTTGTTTTGTATTCTCGAGCTTCCCATTGAAATTGTCTGTTCAGCTCTTTTACTTCCTCATTTCTTCCACTTGCTTTAGCATCTCTATCCTTGAGAGCAAGTTTCAAAGTCTCTTCTGACATCCATTTTGGTCTTTTTCTTCTTTCTTGTTTTCTTAGCGACCTTTTGCTTTCTTCCTGTATGATGTTCTTGATGTCATCCCACAACTCTTCTGGTCTTTAGTGTCCAATGTATTAAATCTGCTCTTGAGGTGATCTCTAAATTCAGGTCATGTGTTGGCTCTCATGCACTTTTTTTCATTCTCTTCATTTTCAGCCTGAACTTGCATATGAGCAATCAATGGTCTATTCCACAGTTTGCCCCTGGTCTTGATTGACTGATGATATGGTATTTTTACACCATCTCTTTCCAGAGCTGTCATTAGGACTTGGGTTACATTTCAGGAATTTCAGTGAAGTTGAGTGCCCAACTTTCTGTGACACAGTTAGTGTGGTTGTTAAGGACAGTTTCAGCACCCTGTAGCAAACTGGATATTATGTAGAGTTCAGGTGGAGCCTTCCCTTGAGAACTTGGCTTCCACTAGGAAAACTTGAGCCCACAGCTATTGGATTGTCATCAAATGTTTCTACTAATCTCTTGGCCAAACTTTTGGAACACTCAGGCTGAGCTTAGAAGGCAGTGGCCAGTCTAGAAATGACTGTCCATCAAAGCATCAACAGTTTCTAAGGCTGCTTCTAGCTGCAGTGACTATTGCAGGCCAATTTCTGCAATTTCTGAAGATTAGCTTTCTAGAATTTTGACTGAGCTGTACATCCAAAGCTCTCTTTTCAAACAGAGAGCAAATTAAATCACTAGTCATTAGTAAGGAGTCCTGGTAGTCTAGTGGTTAAAATACTGGCCTGCTAATCTAAAGTTTGGAAGTTCAAACATGCCATCTGCTCAGCAGGAGAAGGATGTGACAGTCCTCTTCTGTAAACATGACAGCTGTGGAAGCTCTATAGTGCAGTTTTATTCTGTCCTATGGGGTTTCTGTGAGTTGGAATTAACATAATGACAGTGGGTTTGGTGTTGTTTGGTTACCAGTTGATGTGTAATTCACTTACAATTGGTGTTATTGTTGTTAGGTGCCATCAAGTTGATTCTAATTCATAGTGAGTTTATGCACAGCAGAAGGAAAAACAGCCTGGTCCTGTGCTGTCTTAACAATCATTGTTAAGTTTGAGCATATTGCTACTGTCAGTGTGCCAATCCATCTCATTGGAGATCTTCCTCTTTTGTTGACTCCTACTTTACCAAGCGTGATGTCTTTCTCCAGGGATTGGTTCCTCCTGATAATATGTCCAAACTATGAGAGGCAAATTCTCAACATCCTGGCACCTAAGGAGCATTCTGACTGTACCGGTTCCAACATAGATTTGTTTGCTCTTTTGGCAGTCCATGGTACTTATCATATTATTCTCCAACCCAATAATTCACATGCATCACTTCTTCTATGATCTTCCTTATTCATGGTCCAATTTTTGCATGCATATGAGGCAACTGAAAATATCATGGCTTGCGTCAGGCGCACCGTACACCTTAAACTGACATATTTGCTTTTGAATACTTTAAAAAGGTCTTTTGCAATTTGCCTAATGCAGTATGTAATTTTTTTCTTGGATGACATTTCCATGAGTGTGCATGGTGGATCCAAGCAAAACGAAGTCTTTAACAACTTCAATCTTTCCTCCATTTATCATGATATTATTTATTGGTTCAGTAGTCAGGATTTTGTTTTCTTTTCATTGAATTGCAACCCATACTAAGGCAAAGGTCTTTAATACACATCAGTAAGTAATTTAAGTCATTTTAAACTTTCAGCAAGGTTGTATCATCTGAAAGTTATTAATGAATCTTCCTCCAATCCTAACATCATGTTCTTCATGTAATCTAGCTTCTTAAATTATTTCCTCAGCATACAGATGAAATAAGTATGGTGAAAGAATACAACCATGTTTCACACATTAATTTTAATTAAAATTAAATTTTAATTAAAATTAAATTTTAATTTAATTAATTAATCCTTTGTTAAGTAAAATAAATAAATAAATGTTCCTTTGTTCTGTTTGAACAACTGACTCTTGGTCTATGGACAGCTCCTCATGAGAACAATTAAGTGGTCCAAAATACTCATTCTCCACAATGTTGCCCCTAGTTTGTCATGATCCACACAATCAAAAGCCTTTGCATAGCCAATAAAGCACAGGTCGACATATTTCTGGCATTCTCTGTTTTCAGCCAAGATCCATCTGATGTCCGAAATGATATCCCTTGTTCCATGTCCTCTTCTGAAACATCTGGACGTTTTCTGTCAGTGTTTGACTGCAGTTGTTTTTAAATGATCTTTAGCAAAAGTTTACTTGCATGTAATATTAATGATATTGTCTGTTGATCCCACATTCTTTTGGGTCACCTCTCTTTGGAATGGACACAAATATGGATCTCTTCCAGTCAGTTAGCCAGTTATTTGTCTTCCAAATTTCTTGGCATAGTTGTGTGGGTGTCTTCAGCGCTCCATCAGTTTATTGAAAGATTTCATTTTGTATTCCATCAATTCCCAAAGCTTTGTTCTTTCCCAATGCACTCAGTGCATCCAGAGGCAACTGCTCTCATCATGCCTAGGGCAGTGTCAGATTACCCAGTAAGCAAGTAAGTATCTTGTAGTGAAGCCCATGTGAAATTGTTCACTATATATTGGCAAGCACAAGTAGACCCATGCTTATCTTGCTTGTTGAGTGATCCAGCCCAGGCCTGGAAAGTAAAGCCAAGCAGGAATTTCCCTTTTCTTTAGGGCTCTACTGACCTCCTCGATGGTTGGTTTCAAATTGTCATGCATCATTTGATGTAAGATAACTCAGGAAAGACCAAGGGATTCTGCAGAGTAAATTTGGACCTTGGTACTCAAAGGAATTGTTGGTGTAAGTGAAGTAAGATCTGGGAGGGAGACCAATGAAGGCAATCCCAGGTCCAGGCCATGGTAACAGTACTATGCAAGCATATCCTGGAGCTGCTACTACCTACGTGTGTGACTTTGGACAGGTCCCTTTCTGTTACCAAAAATAAAGGAGACTGGACTACCTACCCTCTAGCCCTCAGGGTTCTGACCTGGCTTATTCTAATCCTTGATGCCCAAACTGCCTGCTGCTGTATTGCAGTCTCTTTGTTCTCCTCATAATCCAGCATTGCAAATGTGTCACTTTTTATGCTTCTTCCTAAGGATCGCTGGTAACTTAGTAGTTACTCGTCGGGTTGCTAATCTCAAGGTCAGTTGTTTGAAACTACCAGCTGTTCTGCAGGAGAAAGATGAGGCTTTCTGCTCCTGTAAAGATGTACAGCCTCAGAAACCCTGTGCAGGGTCACTATGAGTCAGAACTGACTCCACAGCATACCACCACTACCATGCTTCTTCCTATGAAGCATCTTTTTTCATATAATACATAGTTAACTGGTGGTGGTATTTAGTGCTGTCTAATTGGTTCTGACTCATAGCAACCCTACGTTGGGTTTCCAAAGAGTGGCTGGTGGGTTTGAACCACTGACCTTGTGTTTAGGGGATAAGAAATATCTGTAGATCAAATCATAGTGGATCTATCTTTGCATATACACACACACACATTCAGAGGGTAGGGGCTTTTGTTTGAAAGGGGAAACAAAAACAAAACAAAATCTTGTTTTAAAAACATTAGACTAACTAGACATTTCTTTTGTGACTCAAAGCAGTAAATTTTAAAATATAATTCTGGAGAATGAAGAATTGAGGTTAATTAATACCTGTGCTCCTCAAATAAAAGCTGAAAGGGGAAACTTCACTCTCTACAATCAAAGCAGTGTATTTGTAATTTTTCAAAACTATTTTGAGCTGGGATCTTTCATTTGTTATGGAAAGGTGGATGTTGAGAGGGTGGTGATCTAGTCCACGTAGTAGTAGTACAGCCCTACATTGGAATGATGAGGGGATGAGCTCAGTCCATGCAATTCAGCCACCATCTCCTATCTGTTTCTAAATGATCTGTTTCTTCCCAGACTGCTATCCATTTTGGAATGTCACTTTATCTTTTAGAAACACCTGAAAACAGAAAATAACTACATCCAAACACATGCTGCCTTCCTCTTTGCAAAGGGTATGTTGACTTGAAAGACGCCAGTGGCTTGGAAGGGGCCTTTGCCCACTGATAGATAAGACTCAATGTCAGAGACTTGGTTTGCTTCATTCACCCCCTTTTTCTAGGCATCACTGAGCAGTTTGCAGGCAGCTACTAGTTTCTATTCCTCCAACAAGGAGCTCTGGTAGCTTAGTGGTTACGAATCGGGCTGCGAACCTTAACGTCAGCAGTTTGCAACTACCAGCCGTTCCGCGGGAGAAAGATGAGGCGTTCTGCTCCCGTAAAGATTTACAGCCTCGGAAACCCTGTACAGGGTTGCTATAGGTCGGATCCGACTCGACAGCACTTAACAACAACAACATTCCTCCAACTAACAGAAAGAAGAGAATGGCAGGTTTCAGCCAAAGTCCACTAACATTTGTTTTAAATTGAATATAAGTGGAAACAACTCTGTAGGAAAAAGAAGTGAAAATAATTACCAAAGGAATCTGGTATGTCTCCCTCCTTCTATATTCTCTTAGAACCATTCTTCCGGCGCATTCAGTTTCTGTAGTGTTAGTCAGTGTCTATTGCTTTTTTTTTTTTTTTCCCTGTTCTTTCTTCCTTGACACAATTCTATGTTCATGTTTAGTAATCAAGTACTACGTTTTTTTCTTACACCCTCTGAATCTTACTCTCACTTGTAAGACAAAACTGGGCCCTAGCTGGTTGCTGTGACACAAACTGTATACTTTTTTATTTTTTCCTTAAATGTTTTATTGTGAATTATGTGATGGGCAACGTGGACATTGGCTACCCAAAATGGGGGGTGGGGGGGAGCTATAAAGGCAAGAAGTAACTGGCTTACAAGCTTTCAAGAGGGAACCTAGATCCAGAGGGCCTGGAGGAAGGTAGACTCTCCAGTGAGTAGTATTCAATCTG